GCTGATGACAAGAGGTCATTAATCTTTGATAAATGCTTTTAGGTTCTCCAGTGTTATCTGTGGAATCTCACACACAGAGCCTCTGTGGCCAGGGCTTGAAGTCTGATCTCACTCACTAGTTCCAAGTTTTCTAGAATGCAATTGCTTTATTTCTCTTAAATTTTGAAAGCGGATAAACTAGGCAGCAAGTGTTAGTTTATGTAGCAGCTGCTGTAGTTGGTTATGGTCTTAAAGTAAATCTCAGGCGGAGATTCAACTGTGGGAAGATGGGTCAAACATAATAGTGGGACACATGTAAGCATTAGTTAATAGCATGCATGGAGCTTGTAGATAACTGGTAACTATAGGTATTAAGAAAGAGGCCTGGATAATGGCTCTGCATTCTGCACCTTCACTCGTTTCTTCATCCAGCCAAATGTTTAGGAAGGACCAAATACATTCTATGTATGTGTTAAAACAAGCGAACTTCTCATGCAAGACCCAGCTTAAGCTCCCTTAAGAAAACTTGTAGACTGTACATTTCTTAATAACACACTTGATCATTTTAGTATCCCCAGAGTCTGACACACTGCTGGGCCCAGGGCAATCTGTATACTGATTGGATGGTAATTTGAGTTATTGAGCCTGCACTGCTGGGGTGAATGTCCTAATATCATTCCCCCATTCGCAAACTGCCCCTTTCTGCCTTGTTAAGAATGACAGCCCTAGCGGCCCCTGGGTGGCTCAGTGGTTGAGCGTCTGCCTTCGGTTCAGAATCCCAGGGTCCTGGGATCGAGTCCCACGGGCATTGGGCTCCCCGCAGGGAGCCCGCTTCTCCCTCTGCCTATGTCTCTGTTTCTTTCTCTGCGTCTCTCATGAATAAATAAAATCTTAAAAAAAAAAGACAGCCCTATTTACCTCTTTCTCAAAGACTATTACCTCCTCTGTAACACAATCCAGGCAACAATTCTAGTACTTCAGCTGGACTTAGCAACATGACTTGTACCTAGCAGGTGCTCCACCAAAATGCTCTAAGGGAATGCTGTTCCTAAATTATGCCCAAATAAGTTCCCATATATGAATGTGAAAAACCATATCCATGTGAAAGCACAGGAAAAAAAAAAAGAAATGTATTTAAATGTATTTAAGTATTACTATTAAGAACTCCCTGGAATGCAAACATGAAGAAAAACTAAGCCACTTAGGAACTTAGGCACCCCTGTTTCATGAGATCAAATTCAGAAGGTACAATGAAAAGTGAAGCCTCTTATATTCTCTACAAAGCCACTGAAATACATCTTTGTAGACATTCAGAACATCTGTTTTATGCCTTGATTGTTTAAGGATTTCCTAACTCCACTGACTTACTAGCCATGTGACCTTGGGGACAAATCACTCTCTAGGCCTCAATTTTCTTCTCTGTAAAATGGAGATAACAATTGTCCCTCCTCCATAAAGTTCCCACGAGGCTTAAATGTGATCCTGTGTGCTGTGTGCCTACAACAAGCCTAGCACAGAGCAGTGTTTCAGTAAGTGGGCAGGATATGTCTCCTCCATCATCACAAAAGGTAAAGCGCTGGCCCGATATTAAATAACCAAGCAGACCTTCATTTATCATGCTGACTCTCCTTTTCATTAAGTAAGTACCGACCAGTCTAAGCCTTTATATGGAGAGTCTTTTCCTATTGTCTCCCTACACAGTGATCCTGGAATGCCTGCTTGCCGTCCTTTCTCAGTAAAACTGTCTTCTCCTAGTCTCCTAGTCATTTACTCATACTTTCCAAATGGTCACGAGTAAAATGGCACACGTCAGTGTGCTCTGCTGAATAAGCAAAACACGGCCTTTTTGCTTGGAAAACACTCAGACATCAGGACAAAACTAGGCAGCTAATCCATGCCTGCCTCCCAAAGGCAGCCACTCATCGTGTGCCAGCCTAACCGCAACTCCCACGGTCCTCTCAGACCCCTTAACCCCAAAGGTGAAGCCCAGAAGCAAACTCTTCGCCTCTTTCTACTACACATTTCTGACCCATTTCCTAGAGTGCTCATCACAAAGAGATTTGAATAAAAGCACCAACATCTGCAAAGGAGTCTTTGCCAATGGGACACAAGAAAAGGAAGAGTGTGGGTTAATTTAGGCATCCAAGCTTGGAGAGCTATAGTTTTTTAGTTGAGACTTCTATAGGTTGATTAGGAACCCAAAGAAGAAAAAGAATTTATAAATAAACAGAAAGGCACTTAATAACTGGAACTAGAAAAAGATTTTTTTAAAAAAGAATTCCAAGCTGCCCAAATAAATTCCTATTCCTGGGTTTCCACATCACCAAAAAAGTACCCAAAAGTCCTATTCCTAAGAATAACCCACAAAGTAACACAAACAGCATTCTTAAAGTTTCCAAGTATCTCACTTGTGAAACATATGCCAACAAGATTTTGTGGTCTGCCCCAAAACTTTTTCTTACATTTTGAGGTAATAACCTTTAGCCCCATATCTTTTAAGAACTGAATTCTGATCCACTTATTTATAACAATGTACTCCTTCCATATATGCAAAATTAGTGGGGGAAAAAATAAAAATTCAACTGTGGTGGTTACCTATCAGTAAGAAACTAGCAGGTATATTTCACATATATGCAAAAGGCCATCACTCATGATGAGTTCAGCTTCATGGCATGTGAGTCAAGAGTTAAAGATGCAGATTAGGGCAATGACTCCTTGACCAGTACTACACTGAAGTGCAGAATAACAATTACAAAATTATTGTGTCATTCTGACTGAAACATTTACTGTAATATTTTTGAGGACATGAGTATTATCACCATAATCTAACATGACACTTTTGAACTTCCAGCCTGATTCTGATTCCTCCTTAAGTTCACAGGTGACCACATGTATATGACCACTGGATCAATTTTCTGACCTAATCCTGCAGAATAGTATTCCTCATTTAAAAAAAAAAAAAATATATATATATATATATATATATATATATATTGCAGCCACGTTTAAATTTAGTTACCTCAAACTAAGATTAAGAGCAGCTGCATGTAATTAACATTAACCCTATCCTCTCTTGCTGCTGAAAAATATGGGCATATACCCCTACAAACAGCACTATCAGCTACTTACCCTTATCACACCCCACACACAGAATACAGTAACACTATCTAAATGGGCAGAAAGGAAAAGTTAATATAACTGACAGCTCTATTAGCAGGCACCGTAGAACTTATCTAAAAGGAAAATAACCACTCAGTCTAATCAATGTCACATCCTTCAGAAGGCATATACGATTAGTACACAAAAAGGATGCAAAATGCTCCTGTATCACCATGTTCCAATTTATCACAATTAAGTGAAGTGAAGGACAGACCCATTATGAGGTTGAATGCCTGGCAATTCCGTGTATTCCTGAACACTAAACGTCAGGGTACTGCAACAGAATGACGGGTCACAAAGACAAAAAAAAAAAAAAAAAAAAAAAAAAAAATCATCCATTTACCTCTGGCTTTCAAACAAACTTAGTTGGGAGGTATTTCTCCAAATGAATTTCAAGATTCAGTTCAATAACCCAACATTAACTTCATAGAGAACTCTAGAAGCATCCTCAACTGGCATACGATGCTGAGACTAATTCACTGCACCAGGCAGGCAAAGACAGGACCCCGCAGGAAAAGAAATTTCTCCCCTCTTAAAATTTAGGACTTTGTGCTTCAGAGTACTAATTCTGCAAGTAATCTGTAGAAGAGTGAGTACCAAAGCCCGTACCAAGGGCACTTTCCCACAGAAGCCCAAACTTCTCAATGTTACAGAGAGCTGGCTGTGGTGAGCTTCTATCAGAAAGAGCTCCCCAAACCTCAAATAAACCAACCACAGGATAATCCACCCCAGGAAAACGATCTGCCTTCCTAAATTCCACGCCCCCCCCCCACCCATTACTGTCTTTTCCAGTTGAAATAGGCTTGGCTTGTTTGGAGGGGAGTGGTGCTTTATGGCACTTACAGATGGTGCAGAGTTCCAGGGCAAATGTCCTATTTTTATGGAGGTTCAGAGGCTTTTGCAGCTCTTGGGTTTGCGGGTTCCTCCTTACCTACCCACCCTGCCCTATCACGAATTCACTTCAATTTTAAAGGAAATCGCCATGCCCTTGGCCCTGCCCAGGACACCCACAATGCCTCTCTGGAGGGTCTAGATAAGGGGAGCTGTCCTTCTGCAGGCTCAGACCCCCCCTCCCTTCTCCCGTTCTGGCCAGCTCTTCCCCGGCAGCCTCGGCAGGCAGCCTCGGGTCTCCCTTCACAGCTTAGGAGCGCCCTGCGGGCAAGTCCTGCTGGCGCAGCAGCCTCAGCAGAACCAAACCCTCCCTCGGGTGCTGGGGCCAGGTGGGGAACCTGTCTGCACAGATCTCTCTTTCCAACCCAGGGTTTAGGCACCAGAGACTGGCTGCGGGGGAGACTCCTGGGGTGGAGGCAATGCCAGCCCGAGTCTCCTCTCGACCCTTTGGGGTTTTAATCCCGTGGGCCCCTGCCTATGCAGCTCAGCCCGCCTGGCCTGGCGGAGCCGAGTCACGGAGAGGGGCACTCAGGGACCATCTCTCGGTCCCTTGCTGGTGACCTTGGCCGTGCTGCTTCGCCTCCCTCTGCCCTCTGGGGCCTGACGCCACTTACTTCGCGGGGTAGGACGGGGTCAGAAGGATGTGCAAAGAGCCTGGCAGTAGGGCACCCACGAGACAAGGAGAGGACTTGCCTCTTCTTTTTCCTAGGGGTACCAGGAGCTCGCTCCATCCGCTCCCCGCCTCCAGCGCCCCGGCAAACGGAGCAAGGGGCTGCACATCTCAAGTCCCCCTCTTCACCTGGGAGCGGGAGGTGGTGGGGTGGGGGTGGGGGGTGTGGCTGCCCCAGCCCCCCCCGCATCCCTCCCCGCTCGGAAATGCAGACGATCCAGCTGCGAGCGGGGGCAGCGAGGCGGCCCGGCGGAGGGGCCGGGGTCCCCGGGGGGGGGGGGGGGCGCCGGCCCCGACCTACCTCCTCCAGCAGCGTGACGGTGTTCCTGCAGTTGTGCAGCCGCGTGGTGAAGCTGGACGTGGTGGGCGAGTTGTAGTCCTCGGTGGTCTCGGTGATGAACTCGGAGACGGAGATCTGGTCCGGCATCCTGCCGGGGGGGCGAGACACAAGCGGGGGCGGGGAGTGAGTCACGGCGCAGGCTCCCGGGGCCGCGGGCCGCCCGGCGGCTCATGAACGCCCCGCGCAGCCTGCCACCCGGCGCCCGGCCTGGCGCGGCTCCCGTCCCCGGCGGCGGCGGCGGCGGCAGAAAGGGCGGGCGCGGCGGCTGCGGCGGGTGCAGCGGGTGCAGCGGGTGCAGCGGGCGGCGGGCGGCGGGCGGCGCGGCTTCAAACTCCGAGCGGCGCGCGAGGCTGGGGGCTCTCGGGGACCCGCCTCCCTGTGCTCATGCCGGCGGCGGGGGAGGGGGCGCGGCGCTCCGCGGGGGCTCGGGCCGGCCGGCGCTGCCTCCCGGGGCGCTCTGACAGGCGGCGGCGAGGACACCGACGGACTGCCCGAGCGCGCACTCCCGCGGGCGGGCGGGAGGGCGGGATGGGGGGAGGGAGGGAGGGAGGGCGGGCGGGCGGGCGGGCGGCGGGCAGGCGGTGCTCCCGCTACAGTCACGGGGACAAACAAGGAAGTGCTCTGCGCACGCGCCGCCGCCCGCCGCCCGAGCCCCGCCCCCGCCGCCCGAGCCCCGCCCCCGAGCCCCGCCCCTTCGCCCCGCCCCCGCCGCCTGAGCCCCGCCCCTTGCCTCCACGGCCCTAGCCCCGCCCCCGCCGCCTGAGCCCCGCCCATCACTGCCCCCGCCGCCTGCGCACCGCCCGAGCCCCGCCCCCGCAGCCCCAGCCCCGCCCCCGCAGCCCGAGCCCCGCCCCTCGCCCCGCCCCCGCCTCCCCGGGCAGCGTTCCGACTCGAGCGCCCCGGTCGGGGGCGGCGGGGGTGGGGGTGCCGCCCGGCTCGCGGGGCTCCGGAGCCTGCGCCCCGCCCCGCCCCCGCCCCCGCCCCCGGAGCAGTTACTTGAGCGAGCTCGCTACGCCTGCGTTCTGCGAGTAGAGGGACCAAAAAAAGTTGTGCGCGTTCTTTTTTAGTCCCGAGTGGGTGCAGGAAGCGAGGCCGGGAGCGCCGCCTCCTGCTGCGAGGGCCGCGGACCGAGGATGGAAGGGGGGCGCGGCGCGGGCGCGGGCGCGGGGGTGGCGGCGGCCCCCGGGGCTCCGGCTGCAACCCGCGCGCTCGCCAGCCTCCCGCCCTCGGTCCCGGGCAGCGTCCTTGGGAGGCGAGTTCTGTGCAGTTTTGCTTAGGCTGCTACAATGCTAAGACAAATGAAAAGATTTTTGCTTTTTTTTTATAATTCTCTAATCTTCCATTTGCATGTAAGTTTTTTGTTGTTTTTTTTTTAGCCCGCAGGACACACGAGGGTCAAGAGCGCAAAAGGTATTTCCGGAGGTGCAAATGGTGTATGTACAATGCCCAGCAGATGCCAAATTTCAGCGGATGAAGTACCAACAGATTGTTCATTCCTCGGTCCTGGCAGATGGCTGTTTTAACTAGCTCGGTCTACTTAGTCCAAAGAATCCCATTTAATGTCTCACCACTGATTTTGGATAAAATTGGTTTTAAAAAGAAAAGAAGAAGAAAGCTAGGCCCTTGTGAGGCTTCCCACCATCCCTCTCGTTGAAGCCTTATTGCAGTCTTATAAACTGGTCTCCAAATGCACCACCCCCTTAGGGCAGAAAGGCTGGCTCTGTGGCCTCCCCTAGGACTGAGTTCCTGCCACCTTATGTGGTTAAGTGTTATCTGGTCCTTACCCACAACTACAATGGAGTGGCCCATGGCAGGGACCTTGCCTAGCATTGGGCCTGGCACAGAGAAGCAGCCAAGTGCTTGTCAAATCAAAATGCATCACCTTATTGTCCACAAATACTTGCTAAGGGCCTATGACATGCCCTGGAGATTCAGTAATGACAATGTCCCTGGTCTCAGAAGCTTCCCTTCTAGTAGGGAAAGAGATATCCAACAAATCATGTGATACAACATGGAATACATATAAAGTAAGAAAGTGATGGAGGTGCTACAGTATAAGGAATGTTCAGAGAAGACCTCTCTGGCAGGTGACATCTTGAGCAGAAAAGAGAACAAGAGGCTATGCCCCAAAGACATCTGTTAGCTATGGGATCTTGGCCTTCAGTTGCCTCATGTGCAGATTAATCAACCCCGTGAGGATGTAAAATAATAATGGCTGAGAAAGTACCTTGTGCACAGGAAAGCCATTATGAAATGAGTTCGAGGAGTTTGGTCTGCCTGTGTTGGCTGTACGGAACCTGCAGTACGCCGCCAGCAAAGTACTCATTAATATCAGGTAGGCAAGGGTTTCAGTTAACTATAGGAAGAAGTTCATACGACAGCGGATGTGAATAAAGATTTTTCTCTGGCAAAGTAAAGGGTTGAGAAATGAACCTTGAGAGACATTCTAAAAAATAAGTAAATAAACAGGCACTCACTTTCTCCTTATTAGCCCTTTAAAAGTTTGGTTTTGAGGGTGCGCCTGGGTGGCTCAGTCAGTTAGGCACCCAACTCTTGGTTTTGGCTCAGTTCATGATCTTGCCCCGTGTTGGGCTCCATGCTCAGCAGGGGGTCTGCTTGAAGACTCTCTCCCCTTGCCCCACCCCCCTCAAATAATAAATAAATCTTAAAAAAAAAAAAAGTTTTGTTGAGGTTCTGGGGAGACAGCCAGATGGCAACAGCAAGCAGTTGAAGCCCAGCACCTGGAGGTCACTTGCTCGTTGGCAGTGTTTGACAGAAAATGAGCTTTTGGAGTATGAGTCACTCAGAAGAAAATCTTACCTCTTTTTCTGTATACTCACCTTAGCATCCTACATCTGGCAAGTTCTGTGACTTGGAGCAAATATGGCTCCTACTAACTTGGGCTAATTAAGCTCTCTGATCTCAGTAACTCTATGCTACCCTAAGAAGCAGTGGAGTATAACACCCAGCACTCAGACTTACATCCACTCCAGGAAAGACTTCCTCTAGGCTGGAAATCCGTTTCGAATTTGATTTTGTATTTATTCTATCCTCCTCTGTATTGCAAGTCATCTAATGCCTATCACCTCCACTGGGTTGGTTGCTCCTTCCATCCTGCATGTTTGACGTATATAAACACTTGATAAATATGAGCTGTTATTAAAAGCCTAGAGTCAGTGAATAATTGCCTCGGTTCCCAGAGCCCTGGATTCCGGAGCTTTCTCTAATAACTGATGCTGTCACCTAGGGTCTTTGTGCCATCACTTATAAAATAAAGGGGTGGGTGTGCCAAAATGACCACACAGATCCCTTCCAGCTGGAGCCGAGTCTGTGTATACCCCCCCAGCTCTACAACGCAAGGAATAAAGTTTATTACGAGAAGCTAAGCTAGCTGCAATGGTAAACAGCCGGGGATTTCTTTCCAGACTGAACTCACTGGAGAGCTCAAAATGCTGCCATCAATTGTTTCAGTTTCACTTGGGGATTATGTTATACTTCTCCTCCTCCCCATCTCCTTTGGCCAGGAAAGGAATACGTGAACAATGAGATATTGTGCCCCGGTAAGCATATACTTCCCTCAGACTGGTATGCAATTAGAATTTCAAAGGTTCACACCTCTACCCACAATTTCTGGGGTTCATGGGCCATAATCCTCTTTAAATTTAAAACCATGTCCCAGTGCAAGCCATCTGCACCTCTCATTTTCTCAAATAGCCTGAAAACTATTCCTGGATATCTCAAAGTGAATAGAGAGTCTGATGTAGGCAAAACTTAAAACGCTGTATTTCTTTGTGTGGAGCTGCTTGGGAATATATATCATCCTCTCCAGGGCCAGGAAACACACACGCATACGTATACTAGTGTGTGCCCAGCTTTGTATGAAGCAAACTTCATCTTTGTTATCATCATCCCCATCAGTGCAGCTGAGCACCCTCACGCTTCTCCTGCAGTTTCTTACTCTGAGCACTGCTGACTGGGGTAAGACAGTAGTCCCTGTAACATGCTTTAGTAAAAAGAGTGGTGGCTTATTTTCATGGACAGCGACAGCACTATTGACTCCATTGTCATCGGAGAATTGCCAGACTTCTATTTCCAAGTACAGGCTTCACTCCGGCCCACCTACCTAACAACCAAGGGGGTGCATTTGCAAGATGTCCAACAACGTACCAGGGATGTGAGAGTGGAGGTGGGGAGTTTGGGATGCTCTCTGGGAGCAAGATCAACAGTGCCAGCCAACATCCCAACCTGATGGGATGGAACTTACATCATTCTTCAAAAGCTCCCAGTGCCTTCAAGGGACAGGGGCAACACTGTGGGAAGAGAATATGCGTTATGTTACGTGGACCAGGGTTGGGATCTCTAGGTTATCTCCCTTCTCTTCTCCTCTGCACACTTAGCGTGATAATAAAACTATACACTACAGGGTATTGGGGGAAATAAACTGAGGGGATGTGGATAAAGCAGTTGACGCAGAGTGAATAATCAACCAATGTTAGTTCCCTTTGAACTTGCTTTTCACATGAAGTATGACTATAAATACATTTCTTTTCATTCCAGGACTCAGATACATCTAAATTAGTCACCTGGAGGAGGAAAAAAGCAGGGGAGGGGGAGGCTGCATAGCAATTCCCAAAGTATGAGATCTCAGATTTGGGAATCCTCTTCAGAGACTTCACTTATTCTTGTAAGTATCCTTTGGGAGGTCAAATCCATTCGTGATGGTTTTGGACTTTGGAAGTAAATAACCAGTATCTAGAGTCCAACAGAGTGAATACTAACCAGGATCAGAAATGAGTTAGAGGCCATAAAACAAAAGCCTCAATTTCATGGAATACAGTTCCTATTTTTAAAAAAAGGGCATTCCAGGCAAGGCAGCTTCTAGAGGATAGAACAGGGCATTTACTTTGCAGGAGCATGAGTTATAAGCTGTATGAATTTCATTTGTTTTGAGTTTACTTACTTTTCAGGAATTTATTTCTTTTTCAGGAGCATGAGTTCTAGCTAAGAGGGACGTAGGCTCACATCTCTGCTCCACAGTAGCTATAAGACCTTGTGGAAGGAATTCACTTTTCTGGGTCTCAGTTTTCA